AATAAAAGTACTTTTTCGGGTTTCACCTAGTCCATTTTCAGTATAGATTAAGACGATTCAGATTAAAGCGCACTTACTTTGGTATAAGGGTGTGTGCACATGAGCGTACACATACACACACACGAGTGTTAATATGGAGACCATTCTGTCAAGGATTATGCCTATTGTATATACAATCTAGGAAAGAACAACTATAGAACTGTGAACTGTAGTTCCTGTTACACCGTTTTCTACTGGTGTCTCTCCACTGACATCACTGGACCTACTATCTAATATATACAGGTGTAGTTAGCTCAGATTCAGGTCCCTATATAGTATGGAACTGATAGACACTGTCTAACAGGGAGAAAGGAGCTCCTGGCTCAATGTTCCTTCTGCAAAGTAGCACCAACATTGGGCTCACTCAGCCCATATTCACGGAAACGACAAGTGTCAACTAAAAATGTGGTGTGGAGGTTAAGAGGAGGGGAAAGAAATAAAGCCATAAAAAAATCTTGGACACAATAGGACTCAAAACTCCTGACCTTTTTGCCAGCCCATCGCCCCCTCTAGTGCGGCTTGAGGGGCCTGCTGCCCCTGGCCCCTTCAGGGTCGGACAGCCCTGACCTAACTAACGCACTGAAATTCTAGGGACAGCTGCAAAAAGAGCTCCAAACTGCCCGCAGACAGTAAAAAATATTCAAAGACAGCCAGCTGATTCCTTTGCCTGAACCGGACTGCAATTATTCCACAGATTGACAAAGTGTGTCAACACATCATTATCGCCTGCTTTTCGCTAGTGCAATTCATTTCTCAGCATCAACATCATTTCTGTTTCCTAAAGGCACAAGGTGAAGAATAACTACTTATATCTCAATCCCCACCAACAATTCACGCTTTAAATAAATCTTGACAAATCCAAGAGGGTAGAGGGCAAAATCAGCTGGGTGTTTGTTAAACCTTTGTTTTTTTTTACATAAAGAAAACATTACAACTCTGTTTTTAGCATTATATACTTGAAATATCTTCAAGATCACATAAAGAAAGCGTAGCTCTACTATTTTAATTTCCAACTGGATCTGAGCGTCTATGTTCCAATTTCTAATTAATGGTTTGGTCAAAGAGGTTTGACTTTGAAGATAACTAGTGGCTGCTATCTTTAGTTTCCCTGCCCTAGATCTGTCAGTAATACCGTAAGAGTTTGCCACCTTTCTCAATCGCTTAACAATCTAGACTGAGTTTATCATGTGAAATCATTTGTAAAGAAATGAGAAAATACACGAAGGATCAAGCAAATGATGGCTAGCTGGAAGCCTCGCATAACACAAAACCTCTTCCCCTTTGGAAAATGAAGTGTAAAATTAATAAAAGGAAAACTTCAATATGCAGTTCAGGTGAGAATCACACAGAACATGTCGGAATCTGTTGACGCCTGGACATTTCAAGGGAAACTTGCAAGGTCTCCTGAGGTTTGCTTGAACAATAAATCCAATGGGCCAAGTTTCTCCTAACATTTTAGTGCCTTTTTGTCCAGATGCAAGAATTCAAGAGGGGCAAGAAAATAATGGGACTCGACTGGGAAGCCCATGTTTAAAAGAAAATAGCTAACAGACTGATCTGATGCTGAGGATTTGATTTGAGTTGGGAGCAAAGTTAGGATCAGTTTTAGTCTGCTAATTCAAATAACCAAGGAGGTGGGGTTTGAGAAGACACAAAGGGCAGGTAAGCAACCAATCCCTTTCGTTGGCCTTGTGCTTTTAAAACTTTTCCCCCGAACTCTGGATTTTCTGGGAATAACATTCTGAACTACTGGGGATAAGTACAGACAGTCAAAAAGCCCGAGGCTGAATCGATTCAATCTTCACAGGTTACTCTAAGCTGTGTGGATTGA